GGGGCGCGGTAGTCGGCGTAGAGCACCGCCCTGGACGATGGTCGGTCCTCGTGGGCACGCACGTTGTAGTAGCCGTTGGTGGGGTCCTGGGGCAGGGAGAGAGGCGGTGGAGGCGGGAGCGCCCTCTGCGGGTGGGGTGGCAAACCTCACCAGGGCCCTCAGGGCTTCCTCTGGCTCTGCCTTCTGTTCCCAGCAAATACCTCTCCATCTCCTTTGCTCCTGCAAGAAACCTCCCGACCTTCCCTCCCCAACCTGCCCTCCTCTCCATCCTCAAGCCCTCAAAACCCCGGCTGCCGCCCAGCCCTAGTGCCCGGCCCCCTCCGCTTTCCCACCTTCATTTCATACTCCTCCCGGGTGTCGATGGTATCGCAGCGCAGGTCCTGCTTCAGGTCCACGTCGTCTTTGAAGGACTGCAGAGCAGCAGGACGGGGTGTTAGGAGTCCTGCTCTTATACCCCACTAGCCCCATTCCCATACCCAGAGGCTGCCTATTAATGGGAGGGGTGGGGGGTCAAGGGTAGGCTTGAGTTCTGTATCCACTCCCAGTAAAGACTCTGAGATGTGGTGGGAAGTGGCTAGAGACCTGGGTTCTAGCACCGGTTTTGTCACTAATACACAGTGTGACCTTGGGTATGTCGCTGCCCCTCTCTGGGATCCAGTGATGAGGCAGTGGGATGTGAAAAATTCTAGGAGCTTCCAGTTCTGACACTGCAGGGAAAGGATGGGACAAAGGAAGCCTGTTGGGCCCGGCCGGCATGGCTCAGTGGCTGAGCATTGACCTAGGATCCAGGAGATCGAGGTTCGATTCCCGGTCAGGGCACATGCTCGGGTTGCGGGCTCAAATCCCAGTTGGGGGCGTGCAGGAGGCAGCCGATCAATGACTCATCACTGATGTTTCTAACTCTCTCCCTCTCCCTTCCTCTCTCTGGAATCAATAAAAACATATTTTAAAAAAAAAGGAAGCCTACTGGGGGCCCCACCTGTCATCCTCTGCTGGAGGGAAATCGGTCTGGGAGTGTGTGTCAGTGTGTGTACACACACATGTGAGCATGTGTGAACGTGTATGTGCATGCGTGTATGTGGCAGGACCAGGTAAACTGACGGAGGACACAGTGACAGCGGTTATTAGAGCACTGAGATGGGGCCAGTCCCAAGAGTGTGAAGAGGGGAGTGGGCCAGGGAAGAGCAGGGCCCTTACTGAGTAGATGGCTTTCATGACCCGGGTGGCTGTGGAGACGCTCGCGGTATCGTCCTCCCGGTCGGAATGCATTGTGAGCGGCTCACGGTTCACTGTCTCCACCTTGATGTCCAGCTTCCTCAGGGTCACATCCTTACGACCTGGGACAGAAGAGACAGCCTGGACGCTTTCTGCCAGCCTCTGCGGTGGGTTATTTCTGAACCTACCTTGACTGGGAAGGGCAACTGCCCCTCCGAGGCCCTGCCTGCGGGAGGCCCTGGAACCGGGAGGGGCTGTGGCACACGGGGCCCTTACTCACTGCCTTTGCGACGCCGGTAGAGGAAGAACACCAAGGCGACAAAGAAGAAGGTGAGCAGGATGCCCGCACCGATGGTGGCTCCGGCGATGATGCCCACAGGTAGCACCTCTTCAGGCGAGAAAGGAAAGAGGCGGTAAGGACGGAGCCACCCTGGGGGCTGAGCTCAGTGCTGGCTGAAGCCCAGGCTGGCCACAAGGTCGCTAGCTCCATGGCACCCTGGACTGTGCTTGGGGCTGGTTTAAGTCAAGGTGGGATTTTAGAGGAAGGTCTGCATTGTGTTTGGGTCTGGGCCTGAGCCTAACTAAGCTTGATCAGAGTGGAGGGCGTGGTGATGTCTTACCCTAGCTGCTGGGGCACCAGCCTGACCCAGGCCTTGGTGGTTGTCTGTCCCTCTCCTGTAGCCCACGTTCCTATGAGGCTTGGTCTTTCCTTCCTGAGCTGGGCTCTTGTTTGAGGTCAGCTGTCTCCAAACTCTCCAATCTGCCATATGTCCCAACCTCTTTCACCACCCCCCACAGCATTGGGAAGGCCCCATCTGCATCTACCCACCCAGAACTCCAATAGTTCACCCTGCTCCCCAGAGCTGAGCAGGCCCTGGGACTCCCAACTCCAGCTTTCTCTCCCTTCCTCAAAGTCCTGGATGGATCAGACCTGTATCAAGGCCCTTCCCCTGCAGAAAGCCCTGCCTGCTGAGCTCTGCCTTCTCTATCCCCTCTCTTCTCCCACACCACCACCTTGCTGGTACCCTCAGTTAAGAACAGATGGATCCCCAGTTATTTTCCTCCATCTCCCATGTCAAATAGCTACTTTTAGAAAAAAAGTTCCTGCTTCAGACTTGGAAGCTTCTAAAAAAGTCAAAAGTTATACCTTTTTTTGTTATACTAGAAGTGCCTTAGGGGAGGGAACATGCATCTCCTATCAGACAGGATTCTTGAGGAGGTGGGCAACCAAACGTACTGGGCATCTATTATATGCCAGGTATTTTATAAATATCCTCTCACGTGACCCTCACACCAACCCAGCAAGGTAGGTGGTGCTATTCCCTTTCACAGATTACTAACATTTCTCCAACTGAAGTCATTTGCTGCCAAAGTGTAAGTTCCTCCATTAAACTAAGGTTCCTGAGGGCAGGGGCCATGTTCACATTGGTCCCTGCAGCCCCTGCAGGGCATATAACAGATGCACATTAAACGTTTCAAAAAGTAAGCAGATTTCCCCAGCTGAGCAGCAAGGCCAGGTGGGGAGGCCCAGCCCCCGGAGAGAAGAGGGAGCAGAATCCCTAGGCTGTCCTGTGCCCTGGCTACTGGTGAGCACTGCTGTCACCTCGCTCCTCCAGCTGGATGATGGCCGTGCCTGGCCCGAAGCTGTTCCAGGCAGTGCAGTTATAGTGGGTCTGGAAGTCGGCCTCCATGACATTGTTGATGGTGAGTGTAGACAGCACCCCACTGCCTGAGTTGGTCCTCTCCACCGTATAGCGTTCCAGGGTCCCCACCTCCAGGAAGTTCTCCTTCCATGCCCATGCCTGTGGTAGGGAGGGCAAAAGTGGGTAAGAAAGGTGTTCTTACCTCATGTGCCCTGTGTACCACTAAGCCCAGCACAACACACCCTGCAACAAACCTAAGTCACACACCTACTGCCTCAGACCTTGGCACTGAACCTCCAGTCTAGGAGAATCAGTGACTCTCAAACATGATGGAGGCACATGCCAGAAACATTCAGATATATCTAGAGACATTCTTTAAAATGCCAGTTCTTGGGACTTATCTCCTAAATAGGAATCTCTATATATATTTCTTATCCTCACCCAAGGATACGTTTATTGATTTTCAGAGGGGGGGGGACACTGATGCGAGAGTAAACCGACTGGTTGCCTCCCATGTGTGCCCCTACCAGGGACTGAACTCCCAACCTATGTGCCCTGATGGGAATGGAACCTGCAAACTTTTGGTGTTTGGACCAACACTCCACCTAGCTGAGCCACCCGGCAAGAGAGGAATCTCCATTTTTATAATGATCCCATGTGATGTGAGTGCAACATTTGGGAACCCCAGTTGTTATAGAAAGTCCTGGATGGGGGAGCCAAGAACGCTGGGCTACTTCGACTCCCTGTGTGGCCTCCCTTCCCCTCTCTGGGCCTGTTTCCTCATCTGTAAAGTGAGAGGACCCGACTAGACTATGCTCAGGTTTTCTTCCACATAAGTCAATTTTACCTTTAGCTAACCCAGAGCCAGCCCCACACCAACGTGCTTGGCTTGGAGACCCAGCCACAGACTCATAATGGTGAGCAGTTATCACCAAAGAGGGGTGTCCCAGGCTCCTTCACCCCTGAGCTCCCAGAAGGCAGTCCCCCTTTGTGTCCCCTCCCTCTTCGTAGAGCTTACGGGGTGGGTAATGGCTGAGAACTGGCCCCTTTCCAGGATTAGCCATCCTCGCTCTCCAAGCAAAGCCCCTGGGAGCTGAGCCACTCCCTGTTCGGGCAGCCGTGGTAATGAAGTGTCCCCGGGCAGCCCTGGAGTCAGCCAAATGGTTATTAAATGTGATGAGGGGTTTGACGGTTAATGGTCAGGGAGGAAATTAATGGCTCGTGGTATGGTGAAGAGGAGAGAGGAGGGAGGGGAGTCGTGAGGGAGCCGGTGGAGAGGAAGGAGGGCAGAGGGAGGGGAGTGGGATGCGGGACAGGATGGGAAGGAGAGCTGATGGGGCAGGGCTGAGAGAAAGGGAAGGGGGGAGCAAGGGAAAGCTCAGGAAGCAAGGGAAGGGCCTGAGGGAGAGAAGAGAGCAGAGTGGCAGCTGAGGGAACTAACAGTGAATCCAGTGAGGAGCTCCCCTTGGCCTTCCGTACCTGCTATTACTGTCCCTTGTCACAGCAGCCCTGTTAGGGCAGGATCACCGGCCCCATTTTACGGATGATACTGAGGTTTAAAACACTAAGTAATTTGCTCAAATAAGAGAGGTGGCAGCATCTAAGCAAGGAAAAGGACAGAGGGGCATAAGGTTGGAGGACTGGAAGTAGAGACGAGCAGGAGCACAGACAGAGACTCAGGAGGAGACCGAGCAGGAGAGAGAGGCAGGCGGCTGACTGTCCCCACACCCCACACCAGTCCCAGCACTCACAATGCGGTCCGGGGGTGGCGTGCTCCCGATGAAACACTCCACCTTGCCACCGTCGCCCCTGACAGCATACTGCACTGCCTCGCTGGAGATAATGGGGGGCCCTGCAAGCAGAAGGTGCAGTCAGGGTCCGCTGGAGCCTACAGCGCCTGCCCACCCAGGCCCAGCCCCTCTCAGGCCGCTCACCGTTCACGTAAAGTGGCACCTCCCGCTCTGCCACTCCTATGCGAGGCACGATAGCCCGGCAGGTGTAGGTGCCCGCGTCTGCCTGCGTCACGGACTTCAGCAGCAGCTGGTTGCTGTTACTCAGGACCTGGGCAGAGAGAGCAGCCTCGGGTGGGGAGCCAGGAGGCCTGGGCCCCTAGGTCCGTGTGGGCCCCGCATTGGACGTATTGGAAAGAAAGCAGGAAGGGCCACAAGTGAATTCCCAGAAGGGAACTAGGGTCATGAGTCTGTCTGGTCCCTCCCCTGACTCTAACCAGTTTGGCATTTAAGCACCAACTCCGCACCAGTGGGCAGGGACAGGTGGGCCAGAGGGCAGATGAGGTCACGGAAGATGCAGCCTCTTCGGATGATCTGTTCTAGTAAAAATTTCATCCTGAAATCCCTCCTCCTGCCCGAATTGTTTAAGGCAGGTCTCTGTGGTGCTGCAGAATTCAGCCTTGTCCTCTCTGGTGACCCATCCCAGCTCCCCCACCTTCCTGCGTAGCACCCATTCACCGCATCTCTCGCCACCCCAGCACCTCCACTCAGGCCCTCGTCCCTCCACCCACACACAGGTCAGCGTGTCCCTCCCACTCCACTGAATCGGCCAGCTGGTCTTCGAGGAGGGTGAGGGTTGATCGAAAGCACTGTCCTTCTCCTCTAAATCCTAAGACCATAGAAATATCCCAGATTCAACCTGAAAAATAATGCACACCCCCCCACCCCACCCCCCGTGGCCAAGTTCTTTCCTACCAGCATCCAGGAGAGGCAGCAAGCGTCTTACCATGTTTGAGTCCTTTTTGGTCCAGGTGAGAGTGAGGGGGGGATTCCCGACCCAGACACAGGTGAGAGTCACATCAGAGCCAATGTCTGTAGTCGTAGGTTTAGGGTCAACTACAATCCGGGGGGCAACTGAGGGAGAAGGGAGCAGCTCCTTAGGGTCTCAGCATCACCTGCGTCAGCTCCAGTCAGCCTTCTCTTCTTTCCCCTGCTCTGCTCCTTCCCCGCGTCTATTCCCCATCTCCTCAGCTTCATGGAGCCTCCCCAGCTCCACCCCAGACCCTTTATAGGCCCCTGTCCTCTGCCCCATGTCCCCACCCCTGTCCTCTGTCCCTGTCCCTCCAGCTACTCACAGTGGACATTTACTAAAGTGCTGACATTGGTGCTGCCCACTTTGTTGTAAACCTCACAGGACACAGGCTCCGTGAAGAAGGAATAGTCAACGTGCGTCTCATAGCGACTCTCATGGGCATCTTCAATCGAGAAGCCTCCCTTGGCCCATCTGGGGGAGGAGGCAACACGGGGATTAGGGCTTGGAGCGCTCTCACCCCCCATCCAGTGGCATCGCCCTCCCCAGTAACCTCCCAAGTGCTCCCAGGCCCTGCTCCTCACACCTGTAGCCCAGGATCTCAGGGTTGGCTGTGGCCTGGCATGTAAAGACAACACGCTCGCCCTCCTGTACCGTCTGTGGCTCAATGGACAGGGTCACCGTAGGAGGGTCTGCAAAGCAGGGGACAGGAAGTCAGGGTCTTTTCTGTACCTTAGGTTTCTTTTTCTCTCCCTGGCACATACGCTCGGATAGCACCACTGTGCAGGGATCTGGGATTTGTGAGTTTGCAGTGTACCAGCTCCAATAAGGAAACCTGTCTTCCTCATCTTTACCCCATGGCATCTCTAGGGGGCCATCCAGAGTGATGGTCAAGGATGATACCGAAGGGACAAATTAGTCAATGGGTGTAAAGGCCCGTGGTGGCCACTAGATGCCAGTGTGGGCTCCCCTAGCTCATTAAAAGGGTGGGGGTGGGGCATCTCTCCAATTTTTGTCCAAGATCCCACCCTACCCAGGGCAGAGGTAATTTACTGAGCACACACCAGTGAGCGTGCTCCATGCTTGATACTCTTACACTCCATCTCATTTAATGCTCACACCCCTGAGGAACAGGCACAGGCTGACAGTCCCTTATCTGAAACCCTTGAAACTATGTATTTCAGAATTTGGAATTTTTCAAATTTTAGAAGGGTGATAGTGTGCATGGACTGCTTGCTATGCAAGACCTCCAGCAGGGTCTGGGAAACACCCCATGGTACCAAACATTGGTACCTCTGCAGTAAAATGACTATTAGGATTAAGTGGGTTAAATAAGACTACAAAGAGCCTCGGTTCAGGTTTTGCACCAAATCACTGTTATTTTGGAATTCTGGATAAGGAATTGTAGGCCTGTATTTTATTTTCTGCAGGTATACAGAATTGGAAACCGAGGCACAGAGAGATGAAATAATTGCCCAAAGCCACACTCTGGTTTAGACCAGGGAACAGCTCGACTTGTAGCTGATGCCTCCTCACCAGCCCTCAGTGCCCATGGGTCAAACCAGGGAATCTTCACAGGATGAAGAGGGTGAGCCTCTGCCCTGGGGCCCCTGGCGGGTTCCTCTGTGCTTCTCCATGGGCGCCCACGTTCCCTTCCCCTCCCCACCCCTCCATCCCGCTCTCCCTCGGGCCCCTGCTCACGGTGAACATCAAGTTCAATCGACGTCTCCTTGCCACTAGGGATGGCTTCATTCATGCTGCGACAGGTGAAGACGCGCCCAATGTCCAGGTCGGTGGGGTTAATGAGCAACTGGCTGGTGGTAGTCTCCCTCTTCCCGTCCTGCAGCAGCTCCTAGGGCGGGACACAGGTGGAAGACACGGTCAGTCTAAAGGCCCCTCCTCTGCTCGCAGGATGACCCAACTCAGCGCTGGCTTCCATTGGAGGGGTACTTTAACCTAAAGCTCAGCCCCCGTCCCCAGACCCAACCTCTTTCCAGGTTTGGTTCTGTTTTTAATTAGTAGACTATTTTTTAGAAAAGTTTTAAGTTTACAAAAAAAACTGAAAGAAAATACAGAGAATGCCCATATGCCCTCCTCCCCTACCTCACAGCTTCCATTACTAACGTGATACATTAGTGTGATGCATGTGTTACTACCAATATTGACATATTATTATTAACTAATGTCCGTAGTTTACATTAGAGTTCATTCTGTGTGTACAGAATTTTCCCCATGGTTTTGATTGAGTCCAATTCCTATAACTCTCTGAGTCCAATTTAAGTCCCTCCTCTTCTTCCTTGGCCATCTCAGCCCTCAGGACTCTCTCCCAGCCTGAACCTGTGCCCCTCGCAGGCAGTCTGTCCTGCACAAGGCTCCAGGCACATTCTGCCCGGCCTCTTAGGCACCGTGCCTGAGTTTTTCTGAGTTGGCGCTCCTGCTAGAACAAAAACTCCTTGAAGGCAGGAAATAAACTCACAGGCTCTAAGCCTCATACTACTCTGTGGATCAAAAGAACCCTGGGGCTGTTTTCCTTACTGCAAACTGCCCAAGGTGCACCATCCCGTTAGCCAAAGTAAGGCCCACACTGTGATAGCAACACGCACCTCTCTCCGGGGCCCAGAGCACCAGCCCAATGAAATCACTAACAGTGGCTCCCTTGTGCCGTTTGGCAGAGCCATCATCTTTAATGAATATAAGGGAGGGGGGTGGACGACAAATGGCCATTAACAAATCAGCTTGTTTGGTTGCCAAGATATTTCAAAACGTAGCCCTGAAGGTGAAAATAACAGAGCTCTTGGTAGTGAAAATGTTAAGCACCACTGAGGCCAAATTCTCGTTTGTCAAATGGTGAAACTAAGGCCAACGAGAAGTGAATTGTCCAAGGTGTCAAGGGCAGAGCTAATCCAGGTTCGCCCTGGGGCCATCCTCATAGGCACGCAGGTGAGCATCTATGGGCATGAGGTCCAAGTGCCTGGGCCTACTGTTCAGGGCTCCTCAGGCCAAGTCCCGCATGTTCACACTTCCTCAGCTTTGCTGTTGCTCTTCTTTCCTTCCCAGCGTCTGTTGAAGGGCTACCCATCCTATTGGCATCCTAGTTGCTGCACAGGGCCTTCCATGCCATGTTCCCCTTGCTCCCCGACCACCACCTCAGTGGTCCTGGACAGTCACCACAATGGGAAGTGTCTCCTGCAGCACCTAACAAAGGGCTGGGTACACGTCTGCCCACGGCTGGCAGAAGGAACTACAAACAGGAGATCACTGTTAGCTTCGCCAGGTGATCCTGGACGGGTCACATGACGTCTTTCTCTGCTACAGGCTCATCTATGAAATGTACACAGTGACGCCTGCCTCCTCAGCCTCTTAGCCAACTAGAGGATGAGGGAAGCAGGGCGAGGTGCTCAGCAGGCAGAGCACAGACTGACCGAGGTACAAAACCCAGCTCTGCTGCACGCCAGCTGTGTGACCTGGGGCAAGTCACTCAACCTCTCTGACCATCAGTTTCCTTGTTGTGAGTTGGAACTAACGCCTAACTCATGAAACTCCTGTGAGGATCGAGACACTGTCCACAAAGAGCTTAGCATGCACAGTGCCTGACACAGAGCAGGTGTTTCATCAACACAGCCATTATTACTGTTGCTCCTGGTCTCTGCTCAGCTACTGAATGGCATCAGGAACCTGGAAATTCGTTTCTCTTCTCCGGGCCTCTGTTTTCCCAACTGTGTAACAAGAGGGTTGGTCCAGATTACTTGTAAGGCCCCTTCTCAACCTGCACCGTCGAGTCAGACTCATGAGGTAAAGGAAAGATGACCTGGGATGAGGCCCTAGAGGAGGTGGGGGCGCATGCAGGTCTCACCGTGCTGGCCACAGCACCCTCCTGCTGAGTCCCATCCCGGAACCAGATGATGGTAGCAGCAGGCTTGGCATTAAAGGCTCGGCATGTGAGGTTGTGGGGGGTGCCTGCTTGCAGCAGAAGTACCGGACCTCCGTCAATCCTGATGTCCTCTGGGGGGACTGTGGGAGAGAGCACAGCAATGTCAGTCCAGGGTGCTGTGTGGCCAGCACCGCTCCGATGGCCAAAACCCTGTCCCTGGAAGCATCCCTCTCTTGGCACGTCCACCTCTGGGCAAGGCAGTGGCACTCTTACCCTCTAAATTAAACTCATGGCCTCTGTGCTTTCGTGGCGGCCTCACCCAAGGCCCTCGGCTCACACAGCTCCCCTGCCCTCCTGCAGTTATTCTTTTACAGCTTGTAGTGTGTTCCGATACTACATCCCCTGCCCTTGCTCAAGGCTGCATGCAGATGAGGGGAGTGGCCTCAAACCAGGAAAGTGCTGGGCTAGCTCAGGTGTGAGTACAGCTCATACCTGGGGGGCTGGCAGAGAGGCAGCGACTCCGCAGAGCTCCTTCCATCCGCTCCCTCCTACCTGCTCCTCCGCCTGGAGTAGCCAGATGAGCGAGCCTGATACAGCATTCCCCACGTGGACTGACTCATCCCTGCTGGCCCAGCCCATCCATCACTGCCGGCAGGTTATTTTCTCCACAGCGCAGCTAGGACTGTGCCACTTCCTTGCTCAAACACCTTCAATGGCTACCAACTACTATGAGCACAAGGTCCAAGCGCCTTGGCCTACTGTTCAGGGCTCCTCATGCCAAGTCCCGCATGTTCACACTTCCTCATCTTTGCTGTTGCTCTTCTTTCCTTTACAGTGTCTGTTGAAGGGCTACCCATCCTATTGGCATCCCAGTTG